ATTTATTTATTTTGTGTGTGTGTGTGTGGCCAGCTCAGCCCACCAGGGGGCGGGGCTGGCTGGCATGTGGTGCTGGGGGATTGAACCGCGGTCTCTGTGTTTTGCTTAGCTCAGCTTGTTCTAAGTAGGTGCCTTAGACCACTGAGCCATCTTACCAGCCCTTCAATTTAATTTAAAACAGTGTCATAGTCACACACAACAATTTTTCAAAGGTATTTTAATTTAAATCTTTACCAATATGAATGAAAATATATAAACTATTTTTTACAAAGCTAAATATTTAAAGAGATATGTAAAATTCTCTAATGGAACATGGCTCATCATAAAAATGAAAGTTTAGAGAAAAAAAAACATTGTTTAAAATACAGTCAAAGTATTTTCATTCTGTTATATAAAATATCAAAAGTCATTTTAATGAACAATACTTATGACATATTTGCATTGATAATCTGAAAGTGTGAGATAATGAAAAATAAAATAGATTGAGATGTACCATTTGGCGGTTTTCAAGAATTTACTTAAAGAAGAAACAATACTATTGAGAGGCAATACTTTCTGGGTCTCTTATTTCTGGGTATCTTTCAAATAGAAGCATTGAAGGCTTTTAATTCCCAACTGTTTTGAAAATATCTTCACAGAAAATAGTCATCAGCCTTCTAAAAAACGTGCAAGTCGGTTGTGAGTTTTAAAAGTAAAGATAAGGTCTTCCTTGGAATAAAAAAAGCAGGCAAGACTTTTACCTAACGTACAATTTCCTTAAACGTAAGGTTTCTCCCAAGTACACTGCTTAAAGATATCTCTGACCCTCTTCATACAACTCTGTGGGAACTGGGCTAAGGATATGAACACACTCAAAAAAATTATCCTTTGATTATTGTGGTGGTTGTATCTAATAAAGAACTTTGTGTCCATTTGGTACCCAACGTCTGTGAAATTATGCAAGCTAAATTTTTAGTTTAGAAGTACAGTAAAACCACAAATCCTTTACCAGTTTTTGATACATACCTGTTAGTGTTTTTGTCTTTATAGGGCTGCTGGCATATTCAGAGGCCTGATAAGACTGTGGCTTTGCCAATGGTGCACTTCCAACCGAGAGTTCATCCTCCTTCCTTTTGTTAATTGGTGTAACAAGAGGTACAGATACCACAGGCTGGTGAGAAAGCCCAAATGAAAAAATAATTATTGCTTTTTTAAAGTAATAGATATTAAATATAGTAACATCAGTGCCTCACAAGTTGCATTGGAGTATTATTTGTATGTTGGTTTATTTTTTTATTTAATGTATTTGGTACAGGGTCTCACTACATAGCTCAGATTCTTAGTAATCTTGTTTTCAGGATCCGCAGAGGTGGGATTACAAGCATGCACTCACTGGTAGTTCCACAAACCCACAGATGGGGCCGGAGCTGTATGTGGTGCTGGGGATCAAACCCTGGTTCCTGCACTTGCCAAAGCAGATGCTTAGTCTGCTGAGCTGTCTTGCAGGCCCGGAAGAATTATTTTAAACTGTCCTTCCTGTAGCAGCACAATTCATCATAGCTAAATCTTGGAAACAACCTAAATGTTCAAGTGAGGAATGCATTAAAAAAAGATGTGACATTTTTGTACAATGGAGTATTATTCACCTACAAAGAAGATAAGGTGAGTATTTATGGATCAATGGATGCAACTAAAGGCTATCCTCATAAATGAAATAAATTAGACCCACATGTGTAAATATCATATTGTTTTCCCTAGTGTAAGAAACTGAAAGAGTAAATAAAATCCGAAAGGTAAAATTAGACCCACATGTGTAAATATCATATGGTTTTCCCTAGTGTAAGAAACTGAAAGAGTAAATAAAATCCGAAAGGTACAATAGATGTAGTAAAAGGGAAAGAAACTGAGCAAAAACAATAAACAACTGGGATGAGTAAAAGGAAAAAAAGGAAGGGGAAAAATAATGTATGTATATACACAGGATAACTAAGATAACTGTACTACTAAATTTTATTAATTTTTTTGAAAGTAGCAGTTAATGCTTAAAATTTTTACTTTGCTCAAGTTTACATGCTTATATCTGTAATATGATCAACTACAATGAAGACAACAATCTGCAATATAACAACCACTGTTGAAAACCTATCATGTTTTTTTAAATTGTGTACCATTTTACTGTTACCTATTGTTTTTCTATTCTCTTTAAAATAAATTAATTAAAAATTGTCCTTGGTTGGCAAGATAGTTCAGCAGATTAAAGCACCTAACTAGGCAAGTTTAGGAAAGCACAGGGACGGAGGTTTGATCCCAGCACCACATGCTGTGCCAACCCCGCCCCAAGGCAGGCTAGCCAGCTCCCCACCACACACACACACACACACACACACACACACACACTTGTCCTTAATGTCCATTCCCCTTCCTTCTTTCCCTTTTTCACTTTCTTCCTCCCCCCTCTCTTTCCTTCCCTCCCTCATATATCTCTTATACTCAGGGTATATGTTTCATAAATCCTAGTAGATCCCTAACACAACATTTACATTCCATTACGTATTAAAAGCAATCTAGGGATGATTTAAATTATATTGCAGGATATGTATAGGTTATATGTACATACTATGCCTTTATTTTATTTATTTTTATTTCTTTCTTGAAATACTAGGGATCAAATCAGGACTTTATGCTTACCAGGCAGGTGCTTATGCCACTGAGCTATCTCCCTGGCCCACTGTGCCATTTATATAAGGAACTTCAGCATATGAAGATTTTGAAATCTAAAGAGAGTTCCTAGCACCATGGACACTAAAGTACAACTCTACTATGTTTTTCAATAAATACATACTAATAATACTGTAGGCATAATGAGAAATAATAACTAATAATAAAATAGAATACTATCGTGTAATAAATTTTTTAGAGATTAATGAATTATTTCTGAAATTTCTGGTTTAGTATTTTTAGGTCATGGTTAACCATTCTATATAAAAATCAATATAGCCTGGGGCTGAGGAGATAGCTCTGTGTCTTAAGTGCCTGCCTGGCAAGAGGAAGGACCTGGGTTTGAACCCCAGTACTGCATCCAACCAGTCCCAGAACCTGAGCGCACTGTACTAGCCGTCAAAACTGAGTGTGGTGGCGCCAGGTAATCCCAACTTGGGGATGCTGAAATAAGAGGATCACTATGAGTCTGAGCTGCATAGTGAGATCCTGTACCAAATATATATAATTAAAAAGCAATTTTAAAAAGAGAGCCTAGAAGTACTTCATTTACACATAAGATAATATGGGAAAGGCACAATTTGAAAATTGTAAGTCTAAGAAAAAGAATGTAAATCACTATCAAAAGGCAGTTTTAGGAACAAACTGTATTCCCAGAATATATTACATAATTCACTATTTTAGAAATGCTGAAAAATCTATAATTTGTATGAGAAAGTGATAATCACAGTACATTTGGATATAGAAAAAAATATTCAGCTAGAAAAAGATGGAAAACATTACGCTACTGTACTGAATGAGTTCTGAGCTGGAGAACAACTGTTTCACCTTTTTCATTGAAAGTCTGATGTTACTTTTGATGACTCCCAATACAAGCTTGTTGGAATTTTGGCAAAATCCCATTTATTTTAAATTTGCTATAGGATCAAAGATCAATGCTGAATTGGGTGGAAAACAATCATCAAAAGTTGAGTTTTAGCCACAAGTGAGAAGGAAATTATAGCTTGGAAAACAACAGATAATAAGTGCAACACAGCTGTGGTAGAGGGTGGATGTGGTAGGGAACCAGTGGACTGCAGCATAGTCCAGTGCTGTTCTCAACACCTCAACAATCGAAACTTTTACAAATAATGTAAACAGGAAAATGGAAAATTATCTTACAACTTGTTACTTGGTCTGAGCAAAAGGATAAAAACTGAAAATGAGAAAATAAAATTTAAATGCAAAATGTATAATACTGTATTAGGTATAAATAACAGTATATTTAATATCTAAAATTCATGGTTTCCTATTGAGAATTTAGTCAAATTGACATTATAAAAAATAAGAAGCTTTTAAGACCTAGATGACAAATGCTCAGCACATTTTAAGTTTTTATCATTTATACCTTTTTCATAAAAACATCACTGTAAAAGGAGATGCACAATTGTAACACATATCTGCATATTGAAATTTTCATAGCACTTCTTGAAACTAAAAAAATGAACTTCCCCATCTTTAAAATTAAAGGAAGTAGAAATGTATACAGAAAAAGCTCTTAAGTTCCAATCATTAGTGAGTTTATATTCTCTTAAATTTCTGTCATTTATGTATCTGGAATATAACAGAGCATTCTAAGAAATTAGAGTCAAGTTGAGGATTAAAATTAATACATAATAACAAGAAAAATTATGTGCTGGTAGTGTAACCAAATTTAAGTATAGTATCTAAAAGATATGATTACTGAAAGCCATCAAATTGGCAAAATCCAATGACAAACCAAAAAATTCTTTACTTCCAGTGGCTGAAATGGAGTGTATTTTTCACACAGGTAAAAATACATTAAAATCAATCGAACCTCCCAAATCAGTGTGCAAGACTCTTCTATGCCTTGTACACAGACATTTAAAATACCTACAATGGTGCCTAAAGGTCCTCAATAATAAGGTTGAATGACTGCTAATGCAGTTATTGCATATCACCCATCAAGTAATACTGGAGATGTTAGACCAGTGATACTGGAGATGTGAGACCAGTAGAAATATAACTTCTCCAGTCAAAATATAAAAAATAAGCAATATTTATTTTTAATAACTCTGATTTACAGTTTAAATTTTGTAAAGGCTTTGTTACCAGATGACTGGATTGTGTAATTCATCCAAGGATTACTCCTGGTAAGATTGATCAATTGATGACACTAAGGGGACGAAATGGGAAAGCAGGAGGTGTGGCCTAGTTGAAGGGTTGGGTCATGTGTTTGGTCCCTTTTCCTCTCTGAGTCCCTGTAGCTTTGCTTCTACTCTTCCATCATGATCACTCTTTAATCATTTCAAAGTCCAAAGCATTGGAAGCAGCCAACACTGCCTAAAAAATCTCCAAAACAAAAATATATCTTTTCTCCTCTAAATTGATCTTCTCAGGTATTTGGTCACAATGATGAGAAGATGACTAATACAGTAATTTTCTTTAATCTACTTATATTCTTTATCCTTCTGGTACTAAAGATGACTTAAAAATTCAGCGGTGATACAGACTAGACTTGTGCTATACTTTCTCTATTAATGTCCCATAATCACAAATACCTAAAGTGTCTCATGCTTTCCCTTCCTATAAAAGGTAACTTTCTTTTAATTTATTAATTTAATACACTGAAAAAAAAATGTAGAATTTTAAAGAATAAAATACCATTTAGAGGGCTGGTCAAATAGCTCAGTGGATTAAAGCCAGACACAGGGGCCAGGAGTTCAACCCACTGGGCCTGCCATGCCAGTCCCGCCCCTGGAAAGCACTGAGAGGGCCATGGTGGCATGCACCTTTAATCCCAGCACTTGGGAGGCTGTAAACAGGAGGATCACTATGGGCCCGATCTACACAGTGAGACCCTGTACACCCTGTTACACCCTGGCCTAAAAAAAAAAAAAAATTAGGTTCCCACTCTAGCCATAAATAATGATTATGGCTACCATAATCATTATTATGGTAGCCATATCATGCATACTTGGGTTTTTAAAAGAAATGAAATATTACAGATAAAGCCAATATCCTTTTTGCTAATTTACTGTCACATCCTTTCACATTCAATCACTATTATATTTGTACAAGTCATTGAAATTATTTTATACCAATTGTGGCCATCAATCAAGATTATCAGATTGACTGAATTAAGAGACACCTAGCAGATTAGTAGAACATACTACTGAGTGTGTCTGTGTGGATACTTCCACAGAAGATTGGAATGTAAGCCCAGAGGAGGGAAAACCCATCCTAATACAGGGTCACTATCCAATAAGCTTGCAGGGTAGATGGAATGAAAAACAAAAAGGAGAACATCTGCCAGCATTTGAAAAAGCTCTGTTCTATTTGAGTGACTGTATCTTTTATACTGTCATAGCCTATGTACATCAGACTCCAATTTCTTTCGCCTTACAGGATACACTCATGGGCCAGTGATATAGCTCACTGGTTTTAAAGTCC